TTGTTCAAAAGACTGTATTAACTGTAAAGACTGTCTTTTACATCAGCCTGTTTTCAGGGCCTTTTTTTGGCTACATATTTGTTATTTTTTGCTACATGCCATCTTCTTGCCATATGTTTCTATGGCATAAATCAGTATCTGTGACCTGTTCTCATTTAAAAAAAAGAACATTGGCACAAACCTAGCCTGTATGTATTTTTTGTATGTCATCGAGAGTATTTAAATGATTTTCAATCAGAAAAAAAATTTGAGATTAAAATGCGATTAATCGCGAGTTAACTCAGGCATTGATGCGATTAATCGCGATTAAAAAAATTTAATCGATTGACAGCACTAATATAAACATAAATATATATGTTGGAGAAAATTGGACTTTCTCATCTCAACTACCACTGGTGCAAAATAGTTGTGGACACTGAGGGCTGTCAGAGAAGCCAGCTGGCCAAATATTTAATAAAATGTAGTTAGAAAGTATGACACTTTGCTCTAATTCAGTTTATCTATATAGCACCAGTTAACATGATAGGGTCTCTTAAGGTGGTTTGCAATATAAGACAATTCAGCAAAATCATACAGCCAGATTTCAGGTCAGCGACATACATTCCAGTTAACAAATAAATCAAGTTCACTTCATATTGACATCGCTTAAGTTGTTTTAGATTTGCGGCATTCCATTTTTTCCGATCCAATCCGATACCTCGGCTGAGTGTATCGGCCAATATCCGATACCTATCCGATTAAACTATTGATAGAATGAATAATTTTTCTTGCCATGTGAGTGAAGGCTCACATAGTTTTATTTAAACAAATGAACACAGATATAAATGTAATTGTGTTATTTATAAATAAATAAGATATATAAAGATATATCATATGAAATCACAGATATTAATTCTGGTATCGGAGTTGTGCATCTCTAGGCTGTTTTCTACATAAGGGAATCCAGTATTGTATGGAGGTATTGATTTTTCAGCAAGCGCTCTCCTTGGATGAACCTATAGTGACAGAGAACAGTTGCTTTTATTGAACCTGCAGCAATCTCTCATACTGAGCATGCTTGTTGCAGCAGTAGACGGAAAAACTCCCGTTTAGCCAGGCTCATTATATACAGCCAGATGGAGTATACAAACATAGATGATCAAAAGCTTATTTTTTTCAGTAGCTAGTTACTTATTTTAAGTTTTCGTCATCATTTCATAAACCTCCAGCTTACATCCATGCAGAACAGGACAAACATAAGTCAAGAGAAAAGACGCAGCATGAAGATGTTTCATGGATTGTGGCATACACATAAAGTATTACTTAATTTAAGCTAAAAAAAAAATAAATGACAAATATGAACAGAATGTTTAAATACAACCGATTTATTTACTTTAAATGCTAATTATACAAACTGTTATTGTTCTATAAATATTCATGAAAATACATCAGGATTGTTATTTTCTAATTACACACTTAGAAACATTGCTTAAATAATAGAAAACATGACACGGATATATTTTTTCCACAACCTTTCTGTCTATAGGTTCTTCATTGTATCTATACTGGCTTCATCTTTTGGTTTGCGTTTTTTCCATTATTACTTCACAGCTTATTCTGCTTGTCTCTTATGACTGCTAAGACTTTGCACTCACATTCCTTTATGAGGCATTTTGCTCTTTGCAAGCACTTTGGCTTGTTGCAGATAAGGTGAGAGACAAAGCTTTGAGCTTCATAGGAGGTGTTTTACCCTGATAAGCCATCCTGTGACTTGGTGAAAGATAAATGGACACCTTGTTCTTTCTTTTTGTGATTTCTCTCTACCTCACCGTCTCCCAGGGTTTTTCATCTTCCTCTACCTCGACTCAGTAACCTTTAAGGTAGGCTGGGAGGGCAGGAGCCAGGCTGCGATACAGGAAGAAAGAAAAATTAAGAATGAGCAAACAGTAGATGGAGGGAAAGGTGTGCTTAAATCTAAAGCTTTGGGGTCAGGAAAACCAAAATGAAACAACTGAAATATAGACAAATAATGATTATGTTAAATTAATAAAGCACATACTTTATTCATCTGTTGTTCTACCATCTGTTGTTCTACAAAACATATTTATTTAGGATCTCTAAAGAAGTACATTTGTCTCATTTATTCTTTACTAAAGCTGATTCTGGTATGAAATTGTGCCATAACACCCCCATAGATGGATACCTTCACTTTTTAAAAGGTTAGCAGAACTTTGTCCACATCTCTTCCTATTGTTTTTAAAAGACAGACCCTCTCCATAAAAAAAAAAAAATGCACATGCACAACCCTGTACCTATTAAACTCTTGCAAGAGCATGCAGGAGGCCGTTTCTCCTCGTGCACGTTCTGTTTAACAGTTGCTGTCACTCATACAAGCTTACTTTCCAAAAGAAGATTTGCAATTTTTCTTCTATGTCAGACTCACCACCGGTAAGTGAAAATTGGAACGAGCATGTAGGACGTCTTTACCTAAACATATCACCGGAGTGATTGAAAGTTAGGAGGACTAATAATTTAGATGATCCACCTAGAAAAATGACATCCTCCACTACATTTTAAGAGAATATTAACAATACAACAAAAACAATTCTGTGTCCGTATAAAGAAACTGGTGTTTTTTTGTGGATCTCTGATCCATTTTTAACTGTTAGTTTACAACTGATGACTGAAAACAAAATATTCATCTACCTGATGTAAACAATTGCCGTCTATATTTTATGCCTCCTTTTAATCTCTTCATTTAAATCCAAAGTTTAGCTTTAGTCGATCACCTCTGGTCTCTGCGTGAAAAAACAAAGACTGAACAAATAGAGCAATAGCTACGGATGATGCAATAAGTAAAAGGATGGTTTAATGTGTTGTTCCAATATTGTCATGCAAGACATTCTCTTTTTGCAGTTGTATGCTGTATAAAGACTTAAATGGTCAATTTTCTTAATTGAATTCATACAAAACCTCATGCAAGTGTCTCTGTTCTTCATTTCCTGCCCTCATGGACAGAAACTTCTGTTCTCATTTAACACATTTGACCTCCTGGCTGCCTCTTGCTCCCTTATAATGTGAGATGATATTGGATGATGAGTGGTTTCAGTACTTGTCTGCTGTGCCTTGCTCTGTCTTTACTAGATCCCTGAACTCTTTAAAGAAACTGTGGGTCACTGTGTCATTTCAGCTTGTAGTAAACACAACAAACCCTAAACTCAGTGGATTATATGTAGGTTTATGTGGAAAAATAAACAGAAAGACTTTCACTATATTTCTAAGCAGACTTAAACCTGCAGATTTTACCAGTTGAATATAGTTCCAGATACATAAAATAATACAATATGTGTTTTTGCAGTTGAACATATAAAGAAAATCATGAAGACCACAAAAGCAACAACCTTCAGGTGTTAAGTGTTCAACAGGCATTTAACCACTAGATGTGCCTCCAAAATGTTCTTTGTTCTATGTAGATTTTGACATCAACAGCCATTGGTGTCACACATACAGTAAACCACCTTCACATAGAATGTATGATTTATATTTATCACAAGTATTTAATAATTTGAACCCACTTTTCCCTTATGTGTTGGGGTAATGTCGGCCTTTTGCTATGGCCTGCTCCTGCAGTTTTAGTTGTTTTTCATCTGATTTTTTTTCTGTATCTGCTTCAGTGGTTTCCTAAAAAGCCACTGAAGCAGATCAGAGTTAAAAAGTCCAATTGAAAAAAGCTCCAAAATGATTACAGGGATGCAGATTTAGCTGCAACTGTTAAGAGACAATTAATTATTGCCATCTTATACACATTTGATTCACTTATAGAATATTCTACTGAGAGTGGAGGAAAAAAAAGAACCCACTAGTTTTATTTTCTAGGACAGAAACAGAAAAGGGATTGCACTACTAATATATTGAAAGAAAATCAGGCGGTCATCTATCATTTATTGACAGTTTAGCATTTACCTTAATTATTATATTATATAGATCAACTGGTACAAACTGCAATAAAAACCTAACAATAGGAAATAATGTGCAAAATTCTTTAAAAAAAAGCAAACAAAAAAAACAAAATATGGTGAAAATGATACTCAACATTTGTTTTTCTGATTATTTCTCTTTAAATTAAATCAGAAGTACTTGAGACCAAACAGTACTCTAAGTACATCTCTTTTAAATGGTTTGCTCTTGGATAAAGATCTGGGGGTCAAGTCTGGAGTTTTTTTTGCAATGTTTTGCTTTTACTGATTTCTACCATGGGATATGTGCACTAACCATGCATCTCTGTCTCACTCATCATAGGAATCCTATACTGCTTTAAAATGATGATTGAAACTAACTTCCTATATTCCTGTCATAGTCTAGAAGAAAGAACTATGATTACATTGCTAAAAGGGACAATTACAACATGCCCGTACTCAAAGTTTTAATTATTTTTTATTTATTTAATCTGTGAAAATATGAAAAAAAAAATGATTGCTTTAAACTTGGATTAGAATGACATGTAATGGAACTGTTATGTGATATAAAGTCATGAACTAAAGATCAGTTATATCGCCAGGGTATATTTAAATACTTAAATGCAATAAAACATGTATTTGTTCAATAAGGTCTGTCTGTCTGTTTGTCTCTAATTTTCTAGAAATCTATCTCATATTTTTTTCTACAGGTACCAAGGTCAAGGAAAGCATCGGCTGGATTCAAAGCCAAATGAGCATAAAAATAGCACAGATGTTAATGAAGTTGGGGCACACTGGCAGAGATGGAAATTGACCTTAAACGTTCCCCTGAAAATTAACTAGGAATAATTTTGGAGGACGATTATTGTTGTTGCTGGTTATTGTAAATAAAAAACAGAAATGGCCATCTTATTTGAATCCCAATCATAAATCAAACATATTCAACCTGAATTAAGGGTGAAATGCCTCCCATCTGGTGCTTTGAAGCCTTTTTCAAAGTGTTTCCTACTTTTAAAAGTGTTCTAAATTTTTTTCCCTTTCTTTCCCTTTTCTTTCCTTTGTCAGGTCACCGATCAGTCTGTGCGGGCCGTAGCAGAGCACTGTCCTGAGCTGCAGTTTGTGGGCTTCATGGGATGCCCCGTGACCTCTAAGGGTGTGATCCATCTCACCGCGGTGAGTATCAAACCAGCTGAATTATCACACTAACCTTAAATTATCAGCAGAGGTCCACTTTATCTAAGAACTCCCCTTGTGTCTTTACTTATAAGAGTTTGAAGATAGCGTACTTCCTGCAGTCTCAGTTAAAGATAAACTTCCTTGTTTCGTTGTAATTATTTATTTCAGTAAATGTCACCAGAAGTTCTTGCATGACCAAGTTTTTCTTATTTCCGTCTAATCGGCTTACTTCAGGCCAGCTCCTACTTACACGTTGCTGCAGGTTGTCTCCAGGGGGTATATTTAACTTTTAGGCAATGAATTCAGGCATCCACGCTATGTTTTTTTATAAATCTCAGACTTAGTTTTCAAGTTATTTTGTGTTAACTTTTAAATCTCATGAAAGCTTAATGAGATGAATCCTAATAATACGCTGTTGCTGCGTCTACACCCCGCTGTTTAGATATTACCATGTTAATGAGCAATGCTCCATGCTTAAAGCCGTTCCATGCCATATACTGTAAATGCGGACACACACGCACTGGTGTTTTGATTGCTTGAAGTAAATTCAGAGGGAAAACCCTCACCTTGTTTTGGTCTCATTTAATTCCCTTTCCCAACATGGAATCCATCTAGAGTGTTTGTGTGTCTTGCACCAGTGTGTCCTTCAGTAATACAATTCGATTTGTGTTTGATGTACCTGGGTGTACACTTGAGTGTGCACACACCTCAATGGACTTGCATACTCCCATTTCTCCTCAAATGCAATTACAGTTGTGTTAATAGGACTGAGGCACCCGATGCTGTGCTGCATTATTAGATTAAACAGCAGATTAATTTCTGCTCATAGTTTCGGCCCCTATCATCTCTGCAGCCTCTGCTGACCTTGGCCATGGTGTTGTAGACAGACAGTAATGAAGCCAGCCAGTCATAACAGCATTAGCATACGTGGAGGTGGACGCAGGCACGTGTACCTAGACATAACCCCCCCATACACACACACAAGCACACATCTACGCACTCATTATTATTAATAGAAGCATTAGCCAAGGTGAACATTTAGAGGTTCAGAAGAAGAAGCTCATAATTCTGCTAATATTTATGAATACTTTCGACATGCAAAGCCAGAAACTAAATAGATCATATCATCCATTTGGGTTTAACTAGTTTTTCTTCATTTTGTGCACTGACCTTGAGTTCCCCAATTTATTCCATTAAAGTCCAGGATTTTTGAATCATCATTAAAATGGTAGAGTTGAGGAAAATTATCCAAAGGAATTGTTGGAAAAACAAAAACGTTTGTCCGGTGATATGTTTACGTAAAAAAATACGTTTTCTGGGTATTTGATAAATACAAATCTAGAAACCATTCTAGATTATCCAGAGTTATTCTATTAATCTCCAACAGTCCAAAGACTAAACAAACCAAATGTTGTTTGCACCATAAGGTGCTCTAATTTCTTAAAAAAAAAAAAAAAAAGTTTATCGTTTCATTCCCTGACTAAAAAAAATAAATGAGTTAAATTAAGTTTAAAAAAAAAACAACGAAAAAATTAACATCAAAGCAGCTGAAATATTGCTTATGTATCCCCAGTCAATTAGAATACATAACAGTAGATCTGAAAAGAAACAATATGTTTCTACTGTTTCTTGTATTTAAAAGCTTAGATAAATATCCTCATATAGAAAATCCTTTTATTGTTCCCACACTGGGGAAATTCTGGTGTTTAAATGTATAATACTATATCATTTTAATTCTAAATGGTAATCAAGCTTCAAATCTGTTTCAGACATTTAAAAAAATACTTAGAAGTGAACAGAGAGTTCCCTAAAGCATAATGAAAGGTTATGGATTACAAATAAATACGTTTTCTCAAATAGCAATATGTAAATGTGCAGAATCCTGTTTTGCTGTTTTATCACATCTGCATAAAAATATTGCAAGTCAATAAGATAGTACAGATTAGTTTTTAATGTCTTCAGATAGGTGGACTTTTAAAATTAATTATTTAATTTATTAATTCCAAACAAGCACCTTATTTTCCGTATATGAACCTCTTGCTGTATTTAAAATTCCATAATGTGAAAGTTATTTAATCTTCTTGAAGAAGACCCAACTCAGCTGAGCTCTGTGTGTTGGGATCACACGGTAACCTGCTTTGTTGGTTGAGGCCTGTAGACGACCTCTTCTCATTCCTTCCAAGCAAAAAAAAAAAAAATAGAATTCTGTACTTAAACATTAGGCTAACTAACGTAGTGGCAGCTACTTTTGCAGAGTCCAAAAATAAGGAAGTATAGAGTAAAAGAGAGGGAGTAGGGATCAAATTATCTACTTGGTTAGCTGGCATCCATCCATCCATCCATCCATCCATCCATCCATCCATCCATCCATCCATCCATCCATCCATCCATCCATCCATCCATCCATCCATCCATCCATCCATCCATCCATCCATCCATCCATCCATCCATCCATCCATCCATCCAATCAAAAACCTTGTATATTTGATCCATGATTTTTTTTTCTCATTTGCTAAAGACACCCCAGATGCATTCCTTTTAGATTTAATCTGTTGAGAAAAGCTTCCTATTATATTTAGCTGAAAGCATTTAAAACCTAAGCACAGAGAAGTTCATAGGTTCAGCCTTCGGTCTTAATCACTTTTCACTGTTATTCATTTCTGTTCGCCTCTCTCAGCCCACATCTCAGTCATTCCACCTCCTCCTTTTTCCATCACTCTATAATTTCTGACAGCAATTATCTTGTTTGAGAGTCGATTCCTGCTCTCGTTGATTCCCACCTGGTCCCATCATCTGTCGATTTAAAAATCATATTCTTGCTTTTAGAAATCGTTGCATTTCTGATGACTCCACGGACCTCTGTGCACTTCCCGGACTGCGGCGCTCCTCTCTTGTTTGATTATTGTGCTTCTCCCTACCTACCTCTTTTCCTCCCTGATCACACTCTATATCTTTCCAACCCTCTCAATTTCTACTTGTTAATAAAAAAAGATGGACTATCTACTTTTATTTGCGTTTGTCCTATAACCGTTTTTTAAATTTGATTTGTACTGAGTCTAGATATGAGGAAACTAAATGAAAAGGGCCGGAGGTAGAAGCTGGTGACATGTTGGGACCAGTTTGCAGGGTTTGTTCTCTGTTTTAATGTCTTATAGGAGCGATGCTCTGTCTCTGTGACGTGCATCACAGCTCAACGTTTGTGCATATAAATCTTCTTCTGCTTAGTAGCTCGAGCAAAACGCAAAACACTGTTTTCTGTTTGCTCAGCAAGTGAACAAGCTGTGTAACACTTTTCCTACTAGTTGTTAATTAAACACAGCATTTAGTTTTAAATGCTTAAAGAGAAATTGAAGATTTCAGGAGCAAATGTTTGTTTTTTTGTGGCTGTGTGAGTCAGGGTTTTACTTTAAACTTTTATTTATGGTTGGTTTTAAGATTGAAGCTCCATGTTGGCTCTGAGCTCTCAACATAAATAATAGTTGTATTTGTGAGGTCTGTTATTTCCCAAGACTTCCTTATTGATGGAAAACATCTTAAAGGGAGGCCTTGTGGGTGTTCTAAAAGACTTACTGGTTTGACACTAGGTCTCAGGAGGTAAGCTGAGAAACATGTGTGCTATAATATACAGTACACATGATTAACAGCGACTTCAGTACTTATTGACACCAAGTAAAGATCTGAAAGAACTTCAGATGAATTAATCTTTTATTGCCATGACACAATTGTTAAACGGAGGAAAAAAATCATTATTTTGAAAAATCCTTATTATTATAAATATGTATTGATTGGAAAATGATCAGTTTTTACATTTATGATTCATTTAGAAAGAAAAATCCTTTCACAAACAGTTAAAATGCAAAATATCAAACAATATACACCAATTTGGACATGTGTCAGTGTTACAAATATCAGGTGGGATTGAATTCCAGGGTTTGGAAGAAGAATGGCTCCGCTCCCCACGGTGACGAGTCGGGCAGGAGGCTCAACAAGGTGCATGGAAGGGGAAGATCTAAGGGTACGGGAGGGGATGGCAATCTGAAGGAGATCTGAGAGGTATGGGGGAGCAAGATTATGGATGACCTTGAAAGCAAATAGGAGGATCTTAAACTGGATTCTGATGCGAATAGGAATTCAGTGAAGCTCCTTTGGGACTGGGGTGATGTGATGGAAAGCAGAACTTTTAGTTGATTAATAGTGTTTTAATCATGGTAGTCATCTAAACATAAAAGAAAATACCTTTTGAAAGACTGGTTGCTTGTTAAAGTTTTTGGTTTTCACTGATAAATAATACTGGATGCTGAGCAGCTTCATTCCTTTTATTGCTCCTAAGTTTCCCTGGATTTGCAATGATTTTTTCATTTCTTGTAATTGCAGTTTTCATTAGTACTGCTTTCTTTAATGTTTTAGTCCTCACCAATAATGTTCAGTTGGCTAGTCATCATGGTTTTATCAATTTATATCTGCTTCATTCTCTATGTCTGCTTTCGTCTCCTTAAACCTCAGTCGGCTTCGGCAGATGGCCGCTCACACTGAGCCTGGTTTCTGATGGAGGGTTCTTCCTGTTAAAAATGAGTTTTTCCTCTCCACTGTCGCTACAAGTATGCTTGGTGTAAGGGCTTGCTTTTGAGTCAATGAGTCAATGCAATCTGCTGGTTTTCCTTAGATAGGAAACTTTAAATCAATTTGACTGCTCTGTAAAGTGCCTTGAGATGTGGTGTGAATTGGTGCTTTATAAATAAACTGAATTGAACTGAAGTGACACAGGATCTAAGCCTCTTAATTCTTTAACCCTCTTGGTGGTGACAACAACTTTGACTGTGGGACTACCTTTTGATGCCCAACATGGATGTCCCCGTCTCCTACATCTCTTTACTTCTTTTAACTGAGGGGGATGTAAGTTTTGTGGTTAGAATCCCACAAACCGCTATTTGGTGTCCCTGTGAAAAACCGTACGCCCCAGAATTGTTCCCAGGTGCTTCATCATGTTACCCCACTGC